GCCGACACATGCAGGTGCTTTGGATGATGATACCACATGCAAAGGCTTGGGCAGGTCAATGGAGCTGAGCGTTACAGGCGCAATCTCCTCACAACGCCTCACAACCTCCCCGCCCTCCCCTCGCCGGCCCACACTCACATTCCCGCCTCTCAGGCCCCACCCCCTGCCTGCCATGTTGAGACTTGGACAGATCAGCCAGAACCCATCATGGAGATCAACACAGCCGCGGCCAAGCCTCTGGCTTCACGCCGGTGGCGCTGTGCGCTGCACGAACGACAGGCTGTGGGCGCGGCAGCTGCAGCGGCACCCCAATGTGGCGCTATGCACTTCAGGCCGCGACTTGGAGCTCCAGAGCAGAGGTGGCGGCCCCTACTTTGGCCTCACCCCCATGGTGTGTGTGGACCCAGAGTCTAGGAGGTGCTGCCAGGCCCCGGGCTGCACCACGCACCCCAACTTCAACTTTGAGGGGGAGGCCAAGGGCATCTTCTGCAACGCCCATGCAACGCCAGGCATGGTGAACGTGGTCAGTCCCCGCTGCCAGGCCCCTGGCTGCACCACGCAGCCAAGATTCAACATCCAGGGTGAGGCCAGGGGCATCTTCTGCAAGGCCCACGCTGCGCCAGGCATGGTGGACGTGGTCAGTCCCCGCTGCCAGGCCCCCGGCTGCACCAAGCATCCCAGCTTCAACTTCAAGGGGGAGGCCAAGCGCATCTACTGCAAGGCCCACGCTCAGCCAGGCATGGTGAACGTGGTCAAGCCCCGCTGCCAGACAGCCGGCTGCACCAAGCGCCCCAACTTCAACTTCAAGGGGGAGGCCAAGGGCATCTACTGCAAGGCCCACGCTCCGCCCGGCATGGTGAACGTGGTCAAGCCCCGCTGCCAGGCGCAAGGCTGCACCAAGCGCCCCAACTTCAACTTTGAGGGGGAGGCCAGGGGCATCTTCTGCAACGCCCACGCTGCGCCAGGCATGGTGAACGTGGTCAGTCCCCGCTGCCAGGCGCCCAGCTGCACCACGCTGCCAAGCTTCAACTTCGAGGGGGAGGCCAAGGGCATCTACTGCAAGGCCCACGCTGCGTCAGGCATGGTCAATATTCCATACTTGCGGCGGCGGCAGCGGCCTACTACCGCAGGAGGCGGTGGTCCCTGATGACTTCAGCCAAAGGCAGTGGTAGCTGCCTTGCGGCGAGCCGCTGCTGCATGATTTGGGGCGTGCAAAAGTGGTGTGTCGTTGGAATCAGTGGATAATTTGAAATGTGATGATGCGGTTGGCTGCATTTGTAGCATTTGATGCATATGCGCGTGTGGGCGTGCAGGCAAGGCCGTGTGTGGGTGGTGTGCTTGAGTGCAAATGCGTGGGCAGTTGTTTTGGTGCACGTGGGAATTGGGATAGGATTAGGATTACACATGCACAGGCATGTGCACGGTCTTGTGTCTGCATGCACACACATCCCAAGAGCATGTGTGCTCGCCATTTGATGAACCTGCTTATATTGCTCTATTCAATTTTGGTGTGCTGCTGACCGCTTTTTGATGCTGCCATGTGCAGCAAGGCAGCAATCTTGACCCACTCACCCAGCCTGCGTCGTTGCACGAGAGCAGCCGCATGCAACAGTAGAAGACACTTTACGAGGGCACTGTGTGATGGGCACGCACTTGTGGGTGACTTCTCGCTCGCCCCCGCTCAGCAGGGCACGGGCGCGTGGCACCTGGAGCGTTACCTGGCTGCACGCGCGCTGATTGGCTTGCCGCCCAGGGCGGCGCCCGAGGCGCCTTTTCGGCAGCCTGCGCGGTTGGGTTGCAGAACACACTGAGATCTGGCCCGGCCGCAACGTCGGGTAGGCGCCACCTGTTGGCAGGTGGGGCTGGCGCCGCCTGTTTGCGACCGCGAGCTGGCAAACCAGGCCGCGCTGGCTGTCCAGCGTGGTGGTGACGTCTACGCGGACTTTGAGGCTTGCTTTACTGCGGGAGGTGGTAATGAGATGCCTGGTGCTGGCTTTCTGACGTACACGCCCTACTAGGTCCGCCACACGTCATTAATTTGGAACCAGCAACAGGCACGGGCATTGATGCGCTTGTGCTGCTGCCCCGTCCCGTCGCCCACCCTGCACGACAAGACCCCCACCCGTCGCCCCCATTGCAACGGCCTAGGCCTTACTTGACGAGATGGCTGAATACATATGCTTTGCTTGATTGTCCTGCATGCGTGGGCGGCCGTACCAAGCCGCGGTTTTTGTGCCCTTGTATGCAAACCTGCCCGCACAAGCGTGGTTATGCTCACTGCTGACCAGCAGGCGCTCGGGCCCTTTTTGCACGACGCGGATGGTAGCCACGTGCGTCTCAGTCATGCAACATTGGTGCTTGCCACTCCCATGAGCCTAGATGGCTTCAGAAGCGGCCGACCACGGGGTGCAGTAACAATCCCAAAACTGATTCTTCTTCAATTCTGTCAATAGACAATCTAGCTTTACAGGAGTGCGTGCGGCACGGGGGGCAGGCCGCACAAGGACAAAACAAAGCACCACGCCACTCATGCAAGCGCAAACAATGACAATGGGCCATAACAGTCGGAGTCAGGTTTTGAAGATACGACGCGCCAGTGAGCCACGCCCTGGCGAGCTCACCATTGCAGGCACGTAAGGCGTCCAGGTGGAACTCATGGGGCCCCTCCTTGTTATGGTCCATCATGCCCTTGCGCTGCCGATGACGCCCACCTTCCCGCCCTCGGGCACCGAGAACCTGCGCGGATAGGGGCCCAGGTGTGTGGCGGGTGGCGAATTTCTGCTTCAGTGAGGTTTGCAAGTCGCGAGCGGGGTGGGTGAGCGGGGGGCCGCCAAGCAGCGGGCGGGCTCAGATGCTGGGAGGGGCGCGGGAAAGCAGGACGCCCATGCGATATGGAAGAGCCCGCGACCCCCTTCCCAGTTCCCTCCTCCCGGCCCGCGGCCCGCCCAAAGGCTGGGCAGCCCGCCGTCGTCGGTCCTGCCAGCCCACGCACCGCATCAGACCGGCCGTTGCGAGACACCCGCCCGCCACCGGGGCCCGCCCCGCAGCCGCCCACATGGTGCCCTTGATCTTCCCGGTCACGTAGCCACCTGCCAAGCAATCCGCAACAAACACCACATCTAGCACATCTCCGCCTCAGGATTTGCCGACGTAGTGGCTTTGAACCCCTTCTTGCCCTCTCGCGAGTGCCACTGGTCGGTGGCCTGTTGAAATGGGGGAGCTTTGAGCAGCGGCCTGCATGATCACCTCAGCGACAGCCCCGGCTGCAGGCGCAAGCTTACCCGCTGCAGAATTCGAACCGCTCTGATACCTCTTACCTGGGAACAAGGCAGCGACAACGGTGCCTGTGCGCGGAGTCGGGTGCGGCGCATCCTGCTGCAGCCAACAATCTGTGGTGCGGCCCAAGCACTGCCAGGGCGCCGACGAACCCACTTGACGCGCCTCTGCTTCCTTTGAGCACACGGTGCGGTGGGAAAGGCAGCTGACATGCGTCTGCCCGCAGGTCTGGCGTGATTGGATGCACCACGCCTGAGCGCTTTGGGGACGCTTCTTCGTGCGTTCACATCCCAGGACGCATGCCGTGTGCCCGCTGTGGTCATGCACGCGCACATGCATCTGCTGTCGTAGCAAAGCTCATGCGTGCTTGCCGGCGCAATGCCGCAACATGGATGCGCGCTGCTGCGTGCGATGCTGGGCTGCGGCTGCTGACCGTGCGCACCGGCTGAGCTCGAGCTCTAGCAGCTGTTCGGACTGCACTGGGCCGTGCATAGAGTAGCAATATGCTAGCCATGCGAGGATCAATCATATTTTTCACCGTTGCTGCAGCTATTGAACATGTTATACTAGACCTGTTATGCCGTCCCAGATCTCGCAAGCGCAAAGTCTGGTCGCTCCGAGGCTGAAGGTGAACGCACAGCGGTGGTGGTGATCGCCTCAATCTTGACGAGCTGCACGATTGTGGCCGCTGCTCTGCGCTGCGGGGCATGCCCCCTGCTGGCCCCGTCACGCAACGGTTAAGTGCACGGCTAGCCAGGGTGCGTTACCAGACTCTGTGATGCAGTGGTGCAGCGGCTGTGAGCACATGCAGGTGCCAACGAATGATGATACCACATTGCAAAGGCTCGGGCAGGTCATTGGAGCTGAGCCTCACAGGCGCATTCTCCTCGCCACGCCTCACGC